ATGCGCCTGTCCGAATTGGTTGGCCGAGCTCGTTAAAACTGTAATGCAAGAACCAAATAAAATTACGCACTGTGATGTGGCACCAACTAATTAGGAAAGATAGCACGCGTTTTTCACGTAGAGCGAAAGCAAAATGAGAACATACTATGGCTTGACGTTGCCAAGAGGACAACTCCCGACTTCCGTTTCGAGCGATCAAGAGACTAATAGTTTAAAACCTCAGCAGGCCTTGTTCACGTTATGCAGAAAAAAAAAAAAGTGCTGCAGTTTAGATACCTCTGGAACTTTTCCACAGTGTCCCAGGTTTGTAATACTTGAAGCCCTACATTTCTAAGAATATATTTCTTGCTCAGTTGTTTCAGGCAAGCCCGAGACTTTGTAACTTTTAAGGGGCCCAAGATTTTTTTTCAATAACAGACCAGCTTCTTATTCCTGCAGTTACAGATGTAATTTCCTTTGTCAAACATAAGGTACCAAATACGATGCAATAAAACGTTTTGAAAAACACTCGTGTGAATATTTAAACCAAGCTCGGTTGTACTTTGAAAACGAACGGGTTCCCAGGAGCGCAGCTCAGGGTCGGCTTACTACGCTGTCCGGTTACGCTGATGGCGTCACTGCCGATGGGCGGATGTCGAGTATGAAGCGCAAACGAATTACGTCAATACTGAGTGTCTGGCTAGTCCTATAACGCAGAATGCTTTCCCGCTTGGCTTTTTCGTTCCACCGGTTTTCCGTGGAAGATTATTTTCTGAGTCGAGCTACGTTCAGCGAGTCTACTGTGTTAATATTATAGATGCGTCCCCGAATGTTGTTTTTTTAATAGGTTTATCCTAAAGCAGAGCAGAAAATAAACTACAGCTTACAAAGCGAGTGCCTTCTTTGCTGCAGGAGTTCGGTCAGAGAGTATCCGTCGTGTGGATACGCAGCCTTCCTCTACCACGTAACAGATGTCAGCGATCGATGGTACAGGTCAGAAATCTGGGAAGGTTTCCTGAGGTTTGTAGTTGCGCCAGTTTTTGCTTGCGCGTTCGGCAACCCTTTCTTTTCTCTGTTAGGTGATCCTCTCGTATGTTTGTGGCGTAGTTCACGTTGGAAATATATGTTGTATCGCTGTATTTGTCTATTTAATCTGCCGGGCTTCAGAGGTCTAGAATGCCTGTAGAGCCTCCAGTTGCTCTTTAACGTCTAGATCTCGGTCTTTTCTGTGGCCTGAGATACTCGGACTGCATGTCTTCTGCAACCACCGAAGGCGGTTCAATCTTGCCTACGCGAGCTACGAGCTCTTGGCCTTGCCTCTTTGAGTATGGCTGCCGTTCTCTTGGCTTCTGACGCTTAGCTGGAGGCAGATAAATGCTCACTTTTTAAAACGGTTCGTGACTAGCATCGAGCAATTTTGTTTTTTCAAAACGCGGTTTGGATGCCGCCTATAAACGGGATCGTGTGCTTTACTTGTTCCCCGCCTGTTTTTGCATCGAAATAGATGAACTCAAAGCAGGATCGTTATCCTTCATGATGCAAGAGGGAAAGGATATCCGTACGGGCCTTCCAGAATCCTCATCTACATATCCGTTCCGATTCCCCCCGAGACTTCCAAAGGCGTCCGTTGTGCTTCAGAAGGGATGCTTTCGGATCAGTTCCTCGTTCCCTTCCGGAAGAGCGGAGATTCGGGCAAGGAAGTAGAGAGTTTCCCTGACCTAGAAGGTTATTGTAATTGGCGTAGGAATTCTTATCGCTTCATCTCCGCACTTCGCAGGTGTGCGGTTGACGGCCGAGGAGGTGCTTATAAGAGTTGGAGACACAGTTATAACCCGCCTGAGCGCATCTTTTGTGAAGCAGCAGCACAGTGTCGTGCTGCAGTGAAAACTTCCCTTTCTGTACGGAGATAAATGGCAGACGCCGGTGTTCAGCTGCCAAGGCGGATGAGCAGCAGCTGCAGTTGCAGTCAGAGCCATCTAGAACAGCTTATTAGCAGCAAATTCTGGTTCAGTATTTCACAGCTTCCCCTGAAGCAACATCCTTTTGCCGTTAGTGGAGCCACGGCTGACGTCGCATGACGTGGATATCGGTTTTTGGTCCTTGTTGTTGGGGTTGTTTTTCTTCGGGGTGTGGAGGGGAGGGGTAGGAGGGCTGGGACTCGAACCATACGTTTTCCTTAGACAAAACTGCCGCTTGGGTTCACGCATGTTGCATAAATCAACGGGAAATGGACTCAGAAAGTACGTAAGTAAAAGAGACGCTAAGATAGTAGGGAGAGCAGAGCATTCAGGCACATCGGGACGGTAGGCGTGTACGAGCAGATGAAACGTTCTTGGAAGGAGCTTCTCGGTAACAAATGTCACGCCTTTGCGTTTACAACGCCTTAAAAGCTTCCGCATCTCCTATGGTTACACTTTTTGGGAGAGGTCTTAACGCTAGCGTGACTGCAGGGAGAGGACGTTCCTGGTGTCAGTACCGAATGAAGTCTCTCTCGGTTGTTTCCCTAGCGTAAGGAGAAGGTTCTGAGGTTCTCGGGAAGATCGGCAGGGCTAGATGAGGGAGACAACGTTAGCCTAGTCGATCTTTCTGGAGCGTTTGATGAGGCGCGTGTCGTTCGCCTAACAGATCTTCCTTCAGCGTTCGGTTTGTTTTTACAAGTTGGGAGGCGCTCAGCTGTACAGCAGCCCCTGAAAGTTGGTGCAACACCTCATTGTAGTTGTTTTTATATACAGAAGGGAAACACCAGCGAGAGTAGGGTGAGATCGGACGCGGGAGACTCGCGGCGCAGACGCGATCTCGCCGCCACGTGAGAAAGTTCCTACGTACAAAATGGAAGGACTCGGTCTTAGGTTACGCTTTTGAGGGCTTTAGCAGCGGTGCCATCGTTCGTGTAGCGCTTGCACCCCACGTGCCACAGCTGCACTTCAGACTTTCGTCACTCGTGCTGCAACATCTGATAGGGCAATGCAGCTCAGTAGACCTGAGTAAAAATTACTTGTTCCCCTTTTTGCGATCGCTTTAAATGTTTTGTAAGCGTTTTGTGCTAGCAGCTAGCTAGCTTCGAAATCGTTTCCCCGTCTTCCCCCTCTAGGAAATTTGCTCTAAAAATGGGGCGCGTACCTGATGGATAACATACAACAGCTCCTATCGTATGGAAGTGAAAGTTGGGCTCGTCTGGTAACGGAGTACAGCCTGACCCGCTGCTCTGGGATGCTGCGGAGGAACGTGATGCAGATGTAGTCTAATTAGATGGCAGTGTCAGGGAGGAACGGAACGGCCCGTGAGCGTGCTAGCAGCGGGCGGTCTTCCAGGTGGAAGAAGACGGTAGCTGAGGCTAGGAAAGACTCTCGTTTCCAGGAACGTTCTGGTTAGGAACCGCTCTGGTGGCGGAAGGAGATACTTCCTGGAAATGTAAGCTGCACGTGCCAGTTTCAAAGCCTGTTTCGGGGCAGAGACTTTGTCGGAGCACACAGCTAGCAATGAGAACGGCCAAGAGTCGCTGACACGGCATCTTGGCAAAAGAAGACTGAAGGGAGTTACGAGGAGGCAGCGTCATAGAAATTCTGGTTTAGATTAAGCATCAAAGTAGGGTTTGTTTTGGTTTGGTTTTTTTTGTTGCTAGAACGATTACTGAAACTGTAAATAATTTAAATGCAGTCTCTCGTGTCCTGGCAGCTGTACGCGTGTATTACTTCTAGAGCGGTTCAAGCCAAGAGTAGCACGTTCACAAAGATTCCAGCTTTGCGCGTCGGTCTCCAGGTAAATCGCGGCAGAAAACCCAGAGCTTGAAGGTTGTCCAATTTACAAGGGACCGTAACAACGAAGTATGTCGAGGTAAACATCACTAGCCAATTCAAAGCATCTTAGAGTAGCTTCCCTAAGATGTTTGTTGGTTTAATTGAAAGTGTTGCATCTGCTCATTGTTCCTAACAAAAGGTAAAAAGTACTGGGAGAAAGTATTTCTGCCTGGCACTGCCCATTCAGTATCTACCTCTACTAGTTCTAGCCCGGTTCAGCTACTGCGTAACTTCAGCCATTTAGCACATAATGTAAGAAAAAGTGTCATTTGCATTGTGGGTGATCAACTGTATGATGATGGATACATTCAGTTATAAAATGTAATGCAATAAATCACAAATTTAGCAAAAGTCCTCTTGTTGGTTCAGTGTGGCAGCATATTTATTGCTTCATTGCTGATCCATTCAAAAATCTTAAGTTCTCAACTCTGCCGAGTTACTCGCAAATGTACTGGGATCTGCTTTCCCTTCCGGCCTTCCTAACCGGTCGATAACGTTGTACTGTGTTTTTATGCTTTTCTCTGGCGATAGCAGATATTAAAGAGAAAAAAACCAAAAACTGGCAGGAAGTCAATCAACGAATAAAAATGCTGAGTTCTGTTTGTAAACGAGTGCCAGCGTTTCCTTGTAGGGTTCAGCGTCCCCCTCCGATATCCAGCAGCCTTGCAGTAAACGATCCCTGAGAGGACAGCAGTCAGTCAGAGTTCTCTTCATTGTCAGCTGGCTGTGACGCAGGGAGCCCCGTCGTGCCAATGGGTTGCAAGCTTGGGGGTGTCTCCTAAAATGGAGGAAGGCCAGTAGGGGAAAAGATGTGACTACCTTGGGAGTAAGAATAGAAAAGGACAGTGACATCTCTCTGCTGATGCTAAGTCTTTCCCTAAAAGCTGCATCTACATGCATATGGAAAAAGGCCCTCAGTCCCGTGTTCTAGGCTACAAAAGACTCCAGGTGGGGATTTGAGCGACGCTTTTATTGTAGGATTTAAATTAAAAAAATAATAATATTAAAAAAATAATAATTAAAAAAAACCACACACACACAGTTTGAGAGGGAATCATCTGCTGTTTTTGTCAGGTCTGGATCCAAGGGAGGGTGGAAAAGTTCAGCAGCCTTCTCTTCCCCATCGAAAAGTCTACAAAGCTTTACTCACCCAGGGCATTTCAAATTCTTGCAGACTCAGTCAGCAGACTAAAAACTGCGGCAGTGATGAGTAGAAGTTACAGCTTTTATTTTTATTTTTAGATACGCAAATATTGAAGTAATTTCAGAAATAGCTTTTTATTGATACCTTTGAGTCTGAAACAGGAGTTCGTTGCAGCAAAAGTGGATTTTAGTGGATAACGCCCTACTATAAAACAGCATCCTTTCTTTATTCACCTCCTCAGTAATTTGTTTTCTCTTTTAGAGGTGGAGGGGGGCATTTGCTCCAGGTCGCTGCCTTCCTTGAACTTAAAGCTTTTAAAGTTCTTTCGATGAACGGCACCTCACGACTGGTCTGCCACAGACCAAAAGCACAGCAGATACGAGGAGCCGAACTAGCGTGGCCGTTCACACAAGTACACTTAAATACAAGTGTAAGTATATATTTAACACAACGATCAGGTGTGACTCTTCATCGGTACCTTTCTATTCCATCAAGTACACAGGACGTTTCTCTGCTTAGCTGTTACGCTTGTGGAACCTTGCGCGGGTCACGGGCAGCAGCAGATGACAAAACCCCTCTGCTGTCACTCCCCCTGAAAACACTGAAGAGACTAAGCACAAAGAAAAAGAAAGCAGACAAGTAACACCCTGGTGGAGACGCATGACTTCTGCAATTGCTGTACCGTCGTGAAGGAAGGTAAGGAGAGGCGCTTCGCTGGTTCGCAGACCAAGCAGTGAGCCGTACCGCTCTGAGTTCTGAGTACTGCTGTCTGCTTCTGAACTGGAGGCAGCTGCTGTGTTGTTCTGCCCTGCAGGTTATGCAAGGGTTACGTAAACGCCTTTTATTTGGGAGGGAGCAAGAGGAGTTGCTGATTAATTTGTAAGCGAAGACTGGCACTGCTGTGGTGCTTTGAGGTCTGGTGCTTCACATCATGCTTTTCAAGCCGTTTTTTCCTTAGAGGAATCAAATAACGTTTATCATTCTGCATCTTGCTTCACTTGTGTTATCTGTATGAAGCAGGACTGGAAAATTGTTACGCCGTAGAGCTTAGAAAACAGTCTTAGCTTTGTTGCAGAGTAGCCTCGTTTGCACTTCTAATTTCCACTTTTGCACCCCGATGACCACAAATCCTTCCGTTCAGTCTTTCAGGACTGTCTTTCTATCATAGCAGAGGCTGGTTACTGCCCTCACTTACAGATTTTTTTTGCCAAAACAGCTCTCCATAGTAGAGTAGCAGCATAGGCCGTCCCGCGAGCCCCCTCCCACATCTGCCATCTAATTTGCACAACAGTTCCTACACGAAGGGCCCGGTCCCTGCCCTTTCGTCACTTCTCAGTTCAGCAAAACTCTGAACTGAAATACAGAAGGCAAGTTGGGATAGAGAGAATACAATTTTTAGCTCCTGTCACGTTCTGCCTTCAATAAATTATTGACAGATACACAAAATGCACGCATACCGTGTGAATAGCGTGAGCTAATCTCAATTCACCCTTCCTCAAAACCCTGAAAGAGAAGGGAAGGGGACGGCGGAGAAAAACCCTCGCGCTTCAGATCTGTTAGAAGTGAGGAAGCCCAGCACTCTGCACGTGGCGCTGAATCATTCATCTCAAGACACAGGCCGCTGCTGAATTTTGAGGAACGGCAAAAGACAGACCGAGACTGCCGGGATAAATGCATTTGGGAAGATGGGAACCGCGTACCCAGCGAGAAGCCTGACAGTTTGGTAGCGTAAGGAGCTACCAAAAAAAAATAAATAAATCAGTGGGAAAATAGAGCTTCAGTCTCTTTACCATTAACCGCATCATGAGCTGCACGGCCTCCATTTGTTTTTATTGTCTGCTTTTTCCATATTACGTAATCAGTGAATATACAGATGTTATAATTATGAAATATACAAGAGAGTTTGGCTAAGCATGTTACTATAGCAAAAGAGAATAGATCGAGTGCTTACCCACGTCCCGGGCTCACCGTAAAACTGCAAAGGAGGGACCTCCAGAAAGAAAACCTTCCCTACTCGTAGCCAGCTCTTAAATGGGTCTGGGAGAGGTGCAGCCAGGCTCCACCCCTTCCAGCAGCACAGCTGAATTGCCTTCACCTGTGCTCCCGTGGCTGATTCTGTGCTCGCTTCAAGTGATCAATGAGAGGTTCAGGCCCTGACGCAGCCGTTCCCATACGCGCCTACATTACTATTATTTGTTTTTGTAGTTATTTCTGTGGGTGTATCAAAGTGTTTTCGAGTGCAAGTGTGGTGTCGTTTTTGCTTTCTGATAACCTTTCATCGGTAGCCTTGCAGTGCTGAGCGGTGTGGCTGGCACCTTGACGAGGTCTTTTACCTGTCAGCATCAATAGACTTTTTCCAAGAAAAAAAGCTTTGCTCACCGGGGGGACTTTTTATTCAAGGTATTCATTTAAAGGGGAGCGGGATTACGTCCTTGGTAACAGTAAAGACGAAAAACTTTTTCCCACAGAAATGAGTAACAGCATCACCCTGTGAGCCCATACTATCAAAGCAAAACGTGCTGAAAATAAAATGCACAACGTGTTCTCGCATCAACGTGTTCTCAGATCAACTCCATGACACAAACAAAGCGGTGGGGATCGAGGTCTCTAATTGGATCGCACACATGCGCAGGCACGGTCGGCAGAGCACAGTGCAGGTGGGATTACTTGCTGCCCGGGACTGATTTATCGGAGGCCACAGTCAACGCCGGTAAATATAGAAACTTTGCGGCATTTAGAGGCGAGCGGTACGGCAGATCCGCAGAAATGTTTTTGCGTGTATGTATTTATAGGGATGTTTGAAACGACAGTCATTCGGAGGGTCAGCGGCACAGAACTACAGAACGGATTGGCTCGGAGCGGCCCATTCCCTTCCACCCCACGTGCCGTAGGCAGGGACGGTTCCCTTCCGAGAGCGCCGCTCGCAGCCGCACCCCGCCCGGCGCCGAGCGCCTGCGGGCCCGGGGCGCCACCCCCCCCGCGGGGCACCCCGCCGCAGGGCCGGACGGCGACCCCGCTCCGCGCAGCTCTCGCGAGACGCGCCGGGGCGGGCGGAGCGCGGCGCCGTGACGCGCCGCGAGGGGAGGGCCGGGCGCTCCGTTCCCCGAGGCGGTCCGCACGGGCCCGCGGGGCGGGCGCGAGGCGGCGGCGATGGCGGCCGAGCTGGAGTCTTCCCTGGAGCTGAGCTTCACGGGCAGCGGCACGGTGCCGGGCGGCGGGCTGCCCCCCGCGCGCTCCCGCATCTTCAAGATCATCGTCATCGGCGACTCCAACGTGGGCAAGACGTGCCTCACCTACCGCTTCTGCGCCGGCCGTTTCCCGCAGCGCACCGAGGCCACCATCGGCGTGGACTTCCGCGAGCGCGCCGTCACCATCGACGGGGAGCGCATCAAGGTAGCGGGCAGCGCGCGGCGCCGTGCCGCGGCGGGGAGGGCCGCCGCCGGAACAAGCCAAGCGCGTCCGTCGGGGAGCGGAGCGCTGCGCTGCGCGCGGTCACCGGCCGGGAGGCTCCGAGGGACGTGGGCCGGCGGGCTGCGGCGGCGGTCGGCGGGCGGGCGGGGCGAGCGTCGGGGTCCCTCCCGCCCGTAACGACTCTGCGCTTCTGCGCTCCGCTCGCGGGGTCGCGCTGACGGAGCGTTACCGAAACAGCCGCCTGTGCCGTTTGCGGTTCGAACCGCTGGTCGCTTCCGAACGCAGAGCGCTTGGCTGCTGCCAGGCACGTCGTTCCGAGCCAAGCTCCCTCCTACTTCTGCTTGACGGTTTGTTTCCACGAGCAGATGCTCGTAGCCGTGTGGTAAGAGGGACCGGCGGCAGTCACGCGGCTGTACCGTCAGCGGGTAATTACAGCTGACGGTCAGCTGAAAGCCAGCATCTTTCTTCCTGGTTGAAGACGTTGTGGGAGGCCCGTCGCACCCCTGGACCTCTTCTCTTGTGCTTTTGTCACCCCACGGCCTTGGTGACTGAAAAGGAAATGTCTACGAGAGCCTTTATTCCTCCTTTCCTTTGTGAAACGATGGAATCGCGCTTCTTCAGCTCCCAGCTGACATTCTGCACCCTGGTCCGTTGCTGCCTGTAACAAGAGGAGAACCTGTGGAGAGAGATCTTCCCGTCGGTGCCGTCTTGCTGCCTGGCGTCGTCAGCGACTCTGGCTGATGCAGAGCAGCGACCGAGAAGAAGCGCGATCCGCAGCGCCGAGGTGCTTCGCTTGGGATATCGTGCCCTGTTGCGATGGAAGCTGCCGTGGCTGGCTTTGCTGCCTTTGAAACGCTGCCCGTCGAATACGTCTGGGTTCTGGCTGAGGGAGGTGGCCAACGGGGGAGGATGCTTTTCCGATGCCCGGTTTCCCAGGAGGTTCTGTTTCAGCTGGAAAAGGAATAACCGTCATCATCGTTGCCAGAACCGAAGCTATTAGGAGGATGCTGCATGTCACAGAGTCCCCCTTTTTGTCGTTTGCCTCCTCCCTTCTTCCCACCCCCACCTTTCTCGCTCCCGGCATCTCTGCGGCCATGCCTGTCGAACCGGGAAAGAGAGAAGCTGAGAGGAATCCCATCGCTGCCGTTCTCATCGTGCCCCGAAGGGCCTGCTGAGTAGAGGGATTTGTCCTCTTGCTTCGCAGCAGAGCGTAAGTCGGTGTCTTCCCATTCCCTCTCCTCCCTTCCCCCAGCCAGCTGAGCGGTCGCTTCTGTGCTGCTACGGAACAGAGATCACTTCCCTTGCAGCTGGAAAAACGCTGCGTCACTGGCAGTATTGCAAGCACAGCGCATCTCGCCGAGGGTCTGCCACGCGTTCTCTTCCAATTCCACGAGGTGGGTGTATTCGTCCGTAGCCGGCGCAGCAGGCTGACGGCTGCGTATGAAACACTGTTGCCCACGTGTGATTTCCTGCCTGTGGAAAGCAGCTGCCGGTCTGTGTTAGCTTTGGTCCATGCGTTGGGAAGGCTAGCTGCAGCGATCCCCGAGCGTCACGTCCTCTGACGATAAGCCGGGGTCTCCCAGCTGTACGCTGGGTTCTTTTTTGTCTCTCTCAAATTTGTTATATTTCAATTTAAAGTTGCAGTTGTTGCTTTTTTTTTCCCACGAGTCTCCTGCCTATACAGCGTTCCGCAAGGGCATCGAACCAGCGTTCTCTCTCGGCTCGGTAGGTGAGGGCATCTTCTTTCAAGCGAAGTGACTGTGTGGAATCTGATGGCTCGGACTGTCTCGGCAGGCGACGGAGATGAAGAAATTGGGCTATCAACAGAGCACAGCAAAAAGCAGTATTTGCTCTGCGGAGAGATGAATTGCAGCTGCCGTTTGCCTTCGGTCAGAGGCTAGGATGCCTCGCTGCGGTTTTCTTGGTGATCTCGCTGACTCCTTTAGAAGCACTGCGTGGATCTTTCTTGGCCCGTGGATCAGAAGCTGTCAATAACTGGACCGGAGTACAGAGGCCGAGCTGTTGCTTCGTGCAGTTTATTTTGCTGCAGCTGTTTTTGCAGGGTTGCTGGTGTTCCTTTTAGGGGCTCTGCCCCTCTGCGCTTCGGGGAAGACGCCATCGTATTTGGCAGGAAACAATCCTGTCAGCTGAGATTTGTTTTTTCTTAGAACAGCTTCGGTGGCAGGACTTTAGTATTGCTTTGTGTAAAGATCTTACAGCGCGCCGCTTTCAGTAAACCATCCGAAATGCGTCTTAGTTACGAAGTCGCCTCGCGATTTCTTCGTAGCTTCAATTGTGAGCAGACTGTTGTGGAAGCAGCGATTTGTGAGAAGTCTGTAAGAGCAGTCGTTTTGTTCGGTACAAACTGCGGCGTCATCGGTTCCAAAGAGCGATTTGCTGCCGTCGCCTGACTTTCTTAGTCGTAGTATTTTCCGAATGCGTGCCTTAACACATTTTCCTCTCTGTTTACCCTTGTGTTTTCAGATCCAGCTGTGGGATACGGCGGGCCAGGAGCGCTTCAGGAAGAGTATGGTGCAGCACTATTACAGGAACGTCCACGCCGTCGTGTTTGTGTACGATATGACCAACATCGCCAGCTTTCACAGTCTGCCGTCGTGGATAGAGGAATGCAAACAACACCTCCTTGCCAGCGATATACCACGGATTCTTGTTGGCAATAAATGCGACCTGCGAAATGCTATTCAGGTACCCACGGACTTGGCTCAGAAGTTTGCCGATACGCACAGCATGCCGTTATTCGAAACCTCTGCCAAAAACCCCAATGACAATGACCACGTGGAGGCCATATTTATGACGCTGGCTCACAAGCTTAAAAGTCACAAGCCATTAATGCTAAGCCAACCCCCAGATCGCGATCAAATACACATAAAGCCCGAACCGAAACCCGCCGTGACCTGCTGGTGTTAAGTGTCACTATTTGTTGCTGCCACCTCGTGCCCTGTGCGAACGCTCCCTGGTTACGATCTCGACGTAGATCAAGGGTTTGGTAGCAATTATAGCGAATCCCTTTGGCACTTTGCTGTGTCGTTTGTTTTTTTCCTGGTGTAGATGTGCCCCTGTCATTTTCTTGCGCTTCCTTATTCCACTTTCTGAATTACTGAAGTTCCACTATAAATATGCAGGAAAGTAACCTTTCGGATGCAGCGTTAACCACGCAAGTCTTGTCAAGCTCTGGCTCTCCGAGATCGGTTTTGTCACTCGTGGCAGAGTAAAAGTAGTAAAACGGAGTTAAAGGAAGTAGTAAGAGGGTTTACTGATGTGTTCGGTTGCTGCCTGCGTTGGCATAACGTAGGAGGAGAAGCGTTTCGGGACAGCCGGGTGGCTCGACCAGCAGATCGGCAGGTGGCGAGGTTTGTGACGTGCAAAGGAGTATCGGATGCCTGCTAGCAAACTGAGAAGCGAGGGCCTGTTCTTCCTCTTTAAGTAAGCATTTTAAAAGCAGACTGGACCATCAGACTAAGGTAGAGCCATCGGCGCAAGTGCAAACCGTGGGCTTCGGTGCCCTGTCGTCGTACGGTAAACCGCTTCTCCGTGGCAGTGGTGGGAGAGTCGAGCGAGTCGTCCCTGCCTCTGGGTCCCAGGGACTAGAACTCTCTTCAGCCTCTCTGACCTGACTAAGATTGAAATCTTCAATGAGGATTGGCTTGTAAACGTGCCGTGTTTGAGTCGAGCGAGCCGGGGTAAGTGTAAGCACTTGCCATTGAAATAAAAATAGGCGTGATTTTATCCGAGGCGTTCTGGGGCTTTCCAAGACGCAGCTTTTAGAGGATGCTCCTGCTGATAAATGCTTTTAAAATATCTTGGAAAAGACAGCTTTTTGCAAGGCAACGTGGTCACTTGCTTTAGGGACGAGGACGCCTAGGACAGGCCCCTCCTTCGGGTGCCCCTTTCGATGCGCAAAGTCGTGCCTTACGTATTGGAAACTTCGAGGCCGCCGTACTGCGAGGAGCCGTGCTGTTCTGCGCTAGCGCGCACGAAGGCTGCTGCGGGTCGGTTTGCATCCTGATAAAAACACCGTCAGCCATTCACAGCGTAGGGAATACTGCATTTTCTTTAACTCGATTTAAAGGCCACAATTAGCTCTTGAATTCCAGAGAAAAAAGTGCCACATAGATCCCCTGTGACAAATGTCGGTTACAATACGCCTGTGTCCCGGCCGTAAGCCGTGCCTGCCTGGCAGTGCGAGTCAGTAATTCCTCTTCCATAGCCGTCTTCTTCCACGTTCCCCTCGTTGCCACCATTTGCTCTGCTCTTTGAAGGTCACAGTTCATGACAAAGGTGGTGCTGTGGTGCCTGGTTGCTTATGGTTACACGAAGGGAACCGTAATCCTTAGATTTCAGTGTACGGCTCCTTATGCCACGGTCAGACAATATTTTCCCACTTGTTTTTTTTTTAAAGCAATGTAATGTCAAATGGAGGTGTTTGATTTGCAGTGTGAAACGCGTCGTGCGGGCTGGAAATAGGAAGGCCGGGTCAGAAGCTGCCAGCCCGGTGACGGCTAGAAACAAAGTACTGAAACAAAGTAGCTCGTACGTTGTGAGCTACGGAAATTGTGTCACTGAAGTGCAAGTTGCACCCATAAAAGGGAAAATGTGTCCACTCTGTTCTAGATGTAGGAAAGCATTCCGTTTGGCCTATTACGCTTAGGGTGTTTAAAAGGTGTGTATGCAGATAATATTATTCCTGTCCAAATGAAGCTGCAACGGTTCTGACTGCAATGTTGCCAATGCAACGTGTGTTCAGGGACACTTCAATGTTTGCTCTGATCCTTAGCTGACCGGGCTTACGGTGCTCTTTCAGCAGCGATCAGCTTGTTGAAAGTAGTGTCCTTAATGGTTTGGGGGTTTTTTTTGTTTTTTTTGTTTTTTTTTAAACAAGGAGCAACCTGAAATTTATAAGTGTAGCACTATAAATGAAGCATTTATTTTCCACTCACGTCCTGAATGCTTTTCCTCCAAAGGGTCCCTCTTAACTGGAATGTTAGTATCTGAACTTGTGTGTTAGTAAGCACGTCAGCCAACACTCTTTTGTTGTCGTTGTCTTTTGTGTTTGAATTGGTGTGAGCGCAGCAGATCGCACAGAATGAAGCGTTCCGACGCCAGGCTGGGGTCTGAGGTAAGGCAGCCCTGTAGATACAGCGCCCATGTGAAAGGGACGTCGGACATCTGCAGATCTGTTGCGCTCTGAGGCGTTGGCAACCTGTACATCAGGGTTCTCACGCCGTTCAGGTGGCGTGGAAACAAACGATGCTTTCAGTATGTAACCTTGTCTTGAGCACACAGCATGTTTTAATGGTTCTGCCTTGAAGATAATGTGAGCATTCGGGCTTCGGTGCGCTTCCCGGCTGTCAGTCGTAGCGTTCTACCCGCAGAATCGATGTGAACAGCACCGAACGCTTTGTATGCGTATTTTCACCTTCCCCGACCGTAACGTTGCATTGTTTTGTATGTGTCGGGGAAGGGTAAGACACAGTGCCAGAAACTTAACAACTGGCTTTGCCGCAGGCTATTTTCACTTGTTTTCAGTAAAACGGTGATAACGTTTCTCTTATTAAAATCCATAATAAACTGTGATAAAGGGAGGAAAATGAGTCCGTGCTTTTTTTCAGACAACACGTCCCAGTGTTTGCCACGCCGTGGGCGCTGTGCGATTTCTGCAAGCACCTAAAGAAGCCCCCTGACCATTTGTAGCACGTTCAGGTCGTGCGGGAGGTTTCCCGGAGAATGGCAGGCAATGAACATTTCAAGCTGGCAGCTACAAGGGCAGCTGCAAGGCCTTCCACGTACGTCGGTGTCCTCGGGGCGTCTCTGTCACACTCGCAGTCCTACCTCACGTGCAGAAAGGAAAGCCCTTACCCTGCCACACGGCTGGGGCTCAGCAGATAGTCTCGCTGGCTGTTTGCAAAAAGAAGTCCCGGAGTCCCTTTTCTTCATAATGCTCTCACAAAAGGAACGCTGTTGGGAGCTTGAAGGGGGGATTCATAGAAAGGGTTGGTTTTTTGTGGGTTTTTTTTGTCAGTTTGCTCTGCAAGTGCAAATGAAAGCGTTCATACAGCTGAACAGAGTCTTCGGCGAGGCCTATAAAGCCACATTGATAGGGAAAGAATTGCTGCTGGCTTTCCTCACCCGTTTGGATTCACTGAGCTCCGCGCAGCCACCCGGCCGCAAAGTTGGAATCGGAGAGGCTGACGTGCGCCCAGGCCGTGCTGGAGGCGGCTCCTCGCAGCGCAGCAGGGTGTCGACACGGCCCAGAGGAGGGCCTGTGAGAGCTGCAGAAAGGAAAAGGGAAAAGGGAAAAGTGGGGGGGGGGGGAGGGCGGAAGGGGATAAAACTTTACCATCCTTGTCTTCCTCTGGAGTTAATTCATTTCCCTCACAGAATCTGCTCCGTGTATTTTATCCTTGTTTATTCTTAATGGAATTGTGATTTGAAAATACATTCCTGAAGATGCGTGTGCTTTCTGACATTTCTTTCAAGCCTTCAGTATTTGAATGAGCATCTTCCAGCTTAAGGAGCTGCATTTTGCCTGCTTAAATTCCCCACACGATTTCAATTAGATAAATTCTTCTGCTGCTTTTTCTGTACTAAAATCATTCTGCAGCCTTGCTGCCGCTAAGTGGGGATCTTGCCGTAGAGGTGCTGGCAATGATCCCTGCACGCCAGACACGATATCCGAAACGAGCCGAGTTTTCTGCTGGATTAAAATCGTTTAGGAGAAGTTTTATGCTGGCTTAGAATTATTTTTGGCCGCCTGCAAGTGCTCCCCATTCAAAGGCACCTCCGTCACGGTCCGTTACCGGAACCCCTGCAGAGAAAGCAGACCTTGCACACTCATAGCATTTCCGGGGACTCCTCGAGGAGACGGTCCTTAAATCGTAGGCACATTGCCATATAGGAGCCGCCCCACGGACAGAACCGAGGGCAGGGTTTAGAAGATAGTTCTCGGGTACATAAAAGCTCCGGAGCTAAGGTAAGGGCAGCGGCAGGCACGTGGCAGAGGACCATTCCCCCTGTGCTTTTGGAAATGCTGCCAGGGCCTTTAAAGGGAAACAAACCTATCTTTCGACTGGAACGGGTTGCCCAGCGAGGCCGTGGGAGCCCCCAACCTGGAAGCCTTCGAGGCCAGGCCGGACGGGGCTGTGAGCAACCCGGTCCAGGGGGAGGTGTTCTCGCCTGCAGCAGGGGGTTGGAAGGAGACGCTCTTAAAGGTCCGACCCACACAGTTCTGTGGTTCTATGAGCCTATGATTCCATTTCCTGAACAAGGCAGTAACGCTGTCAGTGCAGCCGTGGCGGAAACCGTGCTCGCAGTTGTTCACTGCTGCGTTTGCAGTTGTTCACTGCTGCGTTCCCTGTACACAACTCCCTCAACAAAACAACCGAATGCGATACGCCGCAAAGACGATGCCGCATTCGAGAGCTACAGCAGCTGGTTCATCTTTTTCGTAATGAAAGGGAGAAATGCCCCGTGAATCGGATGAACCTCTTGCCTGAGGAGGAACTAACTGACTGTCATCTTCAAGAGCTGAGAGAGCAGAAGCGAGCGAAGGGCTCGGCTGAACAGTCGCATTATTTTACTGCCCATGTTCAGTCTGAATCCGATCGGGTCGGTGATCGGTGTCACCGGTCACATTTTTTAGCGGGATCCCAAAGGACAGGCACAGCACCACCCTTTCCACACGCCCCACTTGTTGCTTTACAGACACTTTGCGGCCTGCTGGCAGCACGCACCGGCCCCAAGCCCATTTAAGTGGCTCTGCCAAGGTTTTCCTGCCTGATCCATAAGTGTCGTCGAGCGGCTTTATTCTCCGCAGTGCCACCGACGCAGGCAGAGACAAGTGGGGATGGCCGCAGTGTCTCCGCTGTCCGCCGCTGCCAAGAGGCTGCCTCGGGAACACAGGCGGTCTCTTAGAAACCGGAGCTGCGCTCCGGATGCTCTGATTCACGAGGGAGCGGGCTGGCACGTCATAGAGAGGCACGGGCAATAAGGGAGGTGTACCTCAAAAGCACGTCGCCTAGCACCAAGGGTTGTCATCGCGGTGCCCGGATGAAAGCTCGTACAGAATTTAAGTGAGATAACTGTCATAGCAGCAGAAACCACCGTGTAAGACTAGGTGGTTTTTCCTGATTTGTCGTGGCATCCCCGAGGGCAAGCAGGCACTTCAGTTCTCAGCTTTGCACTTTATTTGAATGCTATCCACCTCAAAATCGAGCCTGCAGCGCTCAGAATAGAATCCTGACAGCACACACCCTGAGCTGCGCTCGTAGCAATGAGAAATGGATTTGCCAGTGCGATTTGTCGCCTGTGTGTGCGTCTGCGATGAAGCGCCTTCACTTGAGAAGACATCGGAGCACCGGAAGACAGTCGGGGAGACGGCGAGTGTTGTACCAAAGCAGATCACAAGGAACACTAATACGCATGGTGTGTTACGCATGTGTTTTTGTGAATGGCAGTTAGAGATTTCAAACCAAATCCCACAAGCTCTAATTGTGCACAGGAGCGCCCTATAGCTTTCACCTCCCCCCAGACCGCGGCTCCAGCGTTCATCCGCAGCCTCGCACCATTCGTCCTAAGTGTGCTAGCACCCCCTTCACAGCGCAGGGGACACCCACGGCCCCCTGGCCCACGGGGACGATCACTGAGCCGGCCCTAAGCGTTCCACGATCTCTGTCAGCACCCTGTCAACCCTAACGAGGCCCACCTGTGCTGACAACGCAACGACTCGCAGGTGCAGCGGGGGCCCGGCCGCCCAGGCACAGGTGCGCCTGGTTAGAAGCCCCGGGCAGGGCCCGCCCACAGCCCTTTAAAAACCCTTTCGGAGGCTGCTGGGAGCCACACAGGATTTCCTGCTGCTCCTTGGTGTGGTGGGTAAGTGCTGGGCTCTCCGTCTGCTTGCGGTGGAGTTATTTTGCAGGATTGCTGCTGGGATTTCGTTACTTTGTGGGTAAGTGGGGTATTGTTTTCTGGTTCTTATTTTGGTTTTGTTTTTTTTCTTTTCAGGAGTTTGCCCTGGATTGCTGCCGGATTTCCCGAGGTGAAGCACATTCCTGCCACGTGTGAGAGCTACAAGCCCTTTTGTTTTCAACAACGGGAGTGTGAACGGCATGAAGCGCGGCGCAACTGTGGGTGAGAAGCATAGTGAGAGGTTGCTTTAGTGTTGTGTTCTTTTTAAGCTGCCGGTTCTTCACTCTAAGCTTTTTGTTTTTGTGTTTTTTTGCAGGGCGAGGGCTGCAGCGGAGCCCCTTGCAGCGAGGATCAGCGCAAACCTGCGAGCAGCTGCGGCAGTAGTAAGGCCGTGGGGGTTGTGAGAGCAGGGGGCTCAGGGATGCGCTTTCCATCCCTTAGCAGAGGGTCTGCAGCTGGGGATTGAAAAGCACAGGGGGCTCCCAGGGCTCCCTGTCTGCCCTGAGGAGGCTGCTGGGCTTTTACCCTGCTTTATGGCTCTATTGCAGGGATGATGGTGAGTTGCCTTTGATTCTCAGGGTTAGCGTTGAGTTGCTGTTCAGCTCCCAGCTCTTTACTTGGGGGTATTGGAGTAGGGTTGTTTTTCTGCTCCCTGAGGCCTAATGTAGCTCTGTATTAGGGCTGCGAGAGTTGAGGCTGTTCCTCCTGGAGAAGGCTTCAGGAAGTTAAGTGAGCAGCTTTTAAGCGAGAGAAGGGAGGGCTTGTAAGAAAGGAGGGCGGTGTGTTCTGCAGGGTCTGTTTTGGCAGAACAAGTGAATTTCTAACATTTTAGAAGGCCGATAAGGTATCCTGGGTTCCACTGTAAGAGGGGTAGAGACAGGGAGGGGTTTGCTTTACTTTGCTCTCGTAAAGCCCTATTTTCAATTCTGTATGCAGGTCTGTGGATCCTCGCAGCGGAAGGACATGGAGCTGTGAAGATGAACGTGGGGCTGGAGTGTCTCTGGTAAGAAAACGGGGGAAGAGAAGGTAGCAAGGAGATCTAATTGCAGCCTTTTAGTATTCAAAGGGGTTTACAATAAGGAGGGGAATTAATTGGTTTTTTTTTCTTTTTACTTGAGTAGACAGAGATAGGACAAATAGGACAAGGGGGAATAGTTTTGAGCTCAAGGGTTAGTTTGGCCATCAGGGGAAGCTCTTCAGCTGCGGAATAGCAGGATGACAATCAGTGCGGCTTAGTATCAGATGGGTAGGTTGGATGTCCACTCTCCTTGGAGTACTTTGCAATCTAGAGTATTTTAATTATACGGTTTTCTCCTTGAAGGGAGGTCATATCATGAGAAGGACTTTGCTGCAGGGGAGCACACGGCCCGGAGAGTCTGGATGGGGCTTTAACTGACCTCGTTTAAATGTAAGTGTGTCTGTGTACACCTGTGTGGGTAAATGATTTTTAAGGGTGTCCTAACATAACCAATTCTATTAACCTTCCTACAGGTCCAGGGCCGGAGGGAGGAGTAGTGCGGTGTGAAGCCGTAGGAGGCCTTACAGATGGAGGTGAGCTGTGCCTGTTTGCAGACCGCAAGCGCCACCCCTGGCCCGGGCTGGTTTGTTTTTGTTTGTTTGGTTTTTCAGAGCCCCTCCTGCTTGCCGCACTGGGGGTGAGAGAACGGGGCACGGCTTTTGTCCTCCCGCTCATCCTTCCTGTGCCGGCGTGAAGCAGGACAGGGGGCAGTTGGAAGGAGACGAACGCGTGAGAAATTTCTTTGTTTCACTTGATCTTGTTTTTTCTTTCTTTGCCAGGCGAGGGCCGCAACGGGGAGGAAGCGCCGTCCTCCCTCGGGAGGGCGCTTTTCCTGCCCCGGCAGCGTGCGGCGGAGGATCCCCGGAGGAAAGCGGCTGACGCCGGGAGTCGCACGGGGAGCGCTGCTCGTACAGCCCTTCCTTGTGGGAATCGCGGGTCCCCGCGTCTTCCTTTGCAGGTCCCGGTGCGGTCGATGCCGGAAGCTGCAGCGACGAAGCAGGAGCGCGCTTAGGACGACGCGGGTCGAAGCGACCGCCGATGGAGCGGGCTGACCCTCCTTCCTGCGGCGAGCGTGCCTGGTGTTGGTGGATTTTGGGACGTGACAGAACGCGGACCGTTCCCGGGTCTGTCGAGCAGCATCGACTTAGTTTTGTTGGTTTCCTTTCAGCTTCTGGCAGCGTTAGCGGTCCCTGCGACGGGTGTTGGCTGGACTGCGTGCCGCGTCTGTCCTCTCACCAGGAGTCTGGATTGCCTGGTAAGTGCGTGCGATTATTTTGTTCTACCGGGTTTGTTTTTCGCGTGTTTGAATTACTGGTTGTGCAGTAAGGGTGATGTTGGTTAGTCAGATCCATCTCCTACTTGTCTGAGGCAATGGCTTGCAGTCTTTGGAAGCGAGTCTTGTTATTGTTGCGAACTCTGCTTTAGGGATGAAGTTGGGTGCTTATATGCACAGTGATGGTTTCTTTTGAGTTTTTAAGCTTTTTTGCCTGTACTTTTTTGAAGTAGATGGTTAATATATATATATTTTTAATTGAGTGAGGTGACGGGTAATGGCTGTGCTTGGTTTGATAGAAGTGCTATTGATGGTGTAAGAATTAGTCACTATGATTTTTGGGGCTCATGTCTGCTGTTGACTTTAAGTTGAAGAGTTTGAGGCTACTGGGTTTAGCATTGGGTGATTTTCATGTTGTTTTTCTGGGGCTCTTGGATGTGGTTGGCAGAACCCTTTCGGGAAGTGTTTTGTCTGGTGTTCCTTGAAGTTGTAGTTTAGTTACGTTTGGCATTGGACTAAATGAGTTTGCTTGTTATTTTTAGTAGAGTCTTGTTTGAGTTGTTTAGCTGTGTTAGTTTTTTTTATGGAGTTCCTTGTTGTTGGTTAGTTATGTTTGGTATTGGAGTAGGTGAATTGATTTAGATAATTATAGTAGAGTCTTGCTTGATAATTTTTTCTTATGGAGTTGCTTAATGTTGTAGTTTGTTTGGCATTGGTGAATTGCTTTGGGTATTTTTTAGTGGAGTGTTGCTCAAGTTGCTGTGCTTTTTTTTTTATGGATTTCCTTGTTGTAACTTGGTTTTTGGTTTTGTACTAAGTGATAGTGTGGTTTTTTATGGAGTTACTTGTAGATTTAATGTTTATCTCTTGGCTTGGTTGTTTTGGGTATTTTTTTAGTGGATTTTCTTGTAACTTGGTTTTATTTGGTTTTGCACTGAGTGAATAGTTTGGTTTTTTTATGGAGTTACTTGTAGATGTAATGTTGTTTTTTTTTTAGTGGATTTTCTTGTTGTAACTTGGTTTTATTTGGTTTTGCACTAAGTGTTTTTTATAGTTACTTGTTGATTTTATTTTTTGGCTTGGTGAATTGTTTTGGGTATTTTTTTAAAGGATTTTCTTGGTTTTGCACTAAGTGAATAGTTTGGCTTTTTATGGTGTTACTTGTAGATTTAATTTTTTTTGGCTTGGTTGTTTGGTACTTGAAGTGTTTTTTTTTTTTAGTGATTTTCTTGTTGTAACTTGGTTTTATTTGGTGTTGTATTAAGTGTTTTTTATAGAGTTACTTTTTGGTTTTTATTTTTTGGCTTGGTTGTTTGGTACTTGGTGAAATGTTTTGGTTTTTTTTTTAGTGGATTTTCTTGTTGTAACTTGGTTTTACTTTAAGTGTTTTTTCTTTGGTAGTCTTAGATTTTTTTGGTGTTTTTTGAAGTTTGTTTTGGCATTTCAATAAGTGCACTGGTGTGGGTATTTTCTGTCGGTTTTGTTTGGTTTTGGGGGGGGGTTGTTTGAATTTTTTTGAATGCTAGACCGCGAAATTTGCACTATCTCTAAAGAGATATATTTTTTTTTTTTTTTTGGAGGGTGGGTGGGTTCGACTGTCTGTTTTTTTGAGTGGCTGGCCGCGCGGGAGCGCCCCCGTGGCGCCAGGGGCTGAGGAGCCCCTCCCGCCCTCCCGGCCCCTTTAGGGCAAGGAGGCCCAAAGGGCCCCCTGCCCTCCCCTATCTCCCTCCCACTCTCCCTGCCCTCCCCTATCTCCCTCCCGCCCTCCCTGCCCCTTTAGGGCTGAGGAGGCCCCGAAGGGCCCCCTGCCCTCCCCTATCTCCCTCCCACCCCTCTGGGGCCAAGTAGGCCCTGCTGCCCCCCCTGCCCCTTTGGGGGGGGGTAGTGAGATGGGCATTCCCCTTAGCTTTGGGGAATGCCCTGGTTCTGGGGTGACTGAGTGTATGTAGCTGGGATCTTGGAGTGGGCCCTGGTAGCATTCACTGTGGCCCAGGGGTGATCTTGGTCGCAGGCTCAAAGATGAGGCAGGACTTGAATAAACCGAGGTCTGTGCTTTACTGAAGAGCAGATAGGTGCCTTGGAAAAAATCTTTGCTGGTGTGGATGGCTGTGAAATCCTCCTGCAGCAGGCAGCTGAGTGTTCTTCCTTGGTTCACGATGAGTATTCTGCAACGACAAGCATCTAAACAAGCATCACCCTAAAGTCACTGGGATCAATAGAATATGAGGCTTTTCCCACATGGATTGCTTAGTCAGTGGTGCTTGTTCCTTGCTCTGAGGATTCTGCTGTGGTAATCCATGCTACTTGCTAGAAGGAGGAGAGGTGTTAATTTTGAGGTGGAAACAGGGGTTAGCTGTTAAGCTTAGAGGAGCAATAGCGTTGATGTGGGCTTTCTTTCTCAAACAATAGCGTTGATGTGGGCTTACCGTCTCAAACAATAGCGTTGATGTGGGCTTACCGTCTCAAGCACTTGGTATTTCTAGGTTTGAGCCGCAATGTTAGCTACGTTGTGATACCCCACTGGCAGCCAGGCTTTTTGACTGAAGTGCTACCTCCAGTTGCTCTGGTACTCGAATCCCAAAATGACACTTGAACTGGAGCTAACTTCTCAGAGGGACTCCCCAATTAAGTATGATAGCTGAAGCCTCGGCTACAGCTGCTGGGAATAGCCCTGCTAAGCTGGGCTTGGGCTGGAAAAACAAAAATGAATGTCTTGTGAATCCTAGCTGTGTGGGAATGCCACTGGCTGTAGGGACCTTACCTCTTACACAGGAATCCCAGGAGGTGAAGAGCTCGGCGTTGGCAGTTCTGACGCTGGAGGTGACTTGGTGGCAGCTTGCTGTCCTTGCATTCCTGGTGAAGCTGGCTCTGTACGTGTGGTGGGGCCTCGAGTAGCGCTTCAGAAGCGGAGAAAGCTGGCTGCTTGGTTGTTCTCTGCTTGTTTTTCTGTTTTGGGGAAATACTCAGAGTCCTGCAAACACAAAGGAAAAAAGTAAAACAAGTGCTTCTCAGATTGCCAACCTTCTACTAACAGATAAGTGCCAGATGATGTGTACTTAAATGTAGGTGCAAATAGGTGGCACGAATAGCACTGATGGAAAAAGAGACTAAGACTTGCTGCTGGAACTGCTCTATGTAACTTACTTTCCTGTGGGCTTGCAGGTGAACTTCATTGCATTTGTGGATGACAGCAAAGAGATGCTGCTAAGTTATCTTAAAACTTACAGGGAAGAAAAACTGCTCTTGCTAAGCAACACACCTTAAATGGATTCTTGTGACTGCGTACCTAGCTTTCCAGACAGCCGTTGAAGAGACTGCTCACCAGCATAAGGCAGGTTGCAGGTGACAAAAAAAGGCACTTGTATGTCAAGAGGCTATGCAAAAGGATTGCCATTCACACTCTCAAAATGAACTCTGACACTGCTATATTTTGTGCTCCCTTAAACTCAATTAACAGAAAGAAATGAGGTGGCTGCATTGAAAGATGCTTGCTATTAAATAGCAATTGGTGGGAGCAGCCCAAGTAGTGCTCGTAACGTGTGTGGCAGCAAGAATTCCTAAACCCCAAAGAGAAAATGTAGATGGGAAGCAGCGAATGCGTCCACTTAGCAAGTGGCTTGATACTTCTGCTCTTTGCGAGGCTGCTGTTGATTTACATTACATAGATTAATAATACTGTAATTCAGAACTTCTTCCCTTGCAAATAACTTCTTGCAGCATTCTTTTAGGCGATGATATTTGAATGCGGCTTTTGCCAAAGAGCTGTGACTTCAGCTGCCTAAATCCTGTAGTACTACTGTGGTCACATCCTGCGATCAGAAATGGCTTGCAGCAAAAAAACAAACTTGCCACTTGGACTGCTTAATAATGTTAATCAAGTTTGTTCACCCTGGGCGTTTCATGCTGCTGTCTACTTATTTCCAAATGGATGCCCTACTCTGAAATATTCTGTAGGAAATAAAAGAAGTGAAATCAAAAGGTGAGATGAACAGCTAGAGAGGAATGCTGCTGTCAAAAAGAATCTCGATGAGAACCTGAAAGGAAAGCTCACTTGAATGAAGCTCGCTAAGGTACAAACTCTGCTTTATCCTTTAGAAGTAAGATTGTCACTTACCCGCGTTGCCTGAGGAAGAGAACTGGGCTGGGGACGCTGCAATTTCAACCCTGCTTGCTGTTCTAGCGTATCTGATTCAAAGGTGGACTCCTCTGGCACGATGGAGCAGATGGAGCAGGTGAATTCAGACTTCTCTTCTGGGGGTAGAAAAAAAAAAAAGTTGTTTATCTTAGGAGTTTCTTCTGTTGTGTGAAGCAAAAGAAGGCCGGTTGGGCTCAGCGTTCTTTGATAGCACGCTTAGCTGAATACCTCCTCTCCCTTATATCCCCTAACCAAAATAAAGCTTACAAAAATAAATAAACTTTATGCTTTTACAGGAAGCTTTCTACCTTTTTTTGTTTTTTTCTTTTAAAAGTTTCTAATCTCCTGCAACTGCACAGAGCATCCTCCTTTGATTAGCTCTCAAATACCAGGAAAGGAGGTGGCAGGTTGCTCTTCCTCGGTGCCAAGTTTTATCGCTCCTCTTTCTTGAGTATGCTGCTGCAAGTGCACAGCTTGAACCTGTCTGGCTTGTGAGGAGTGTTTGTATGTGAGCCTGAATTAGCCAAGCCCTATCTGCTTGTCTCTGTCTCAATTAACTGTCTCTCTGCAGCCTTTGCTTTTAAGTCCATTCATAATTTCGGAATAGCGGCGGCGATAGCCAGAAACCAAGTCCACCTTTTGGTGGAAGAAGTGAAATGAGAACTGTTTATTTATGTCCCAACTTAAACTTTACCCTTTTTAAATGAAGTATGAGACGACTGCCGCTACCAGACTCAAGTCTATCTTTGTTTCTTTCAGGAGTTTGATGGAAGGCTGGACAAGGCTCTGAGTGACCCGATCTACCTATAGGTGACCGGGAAGGAAGCTGGACCAGGTGGCCTTCGACGGACCCCCTCGCTCCCAGCGACTTGAAAACTACATAAAGTCAGACAGTGCTTCAAGAAAAGGGAATCTTGGAGATATGCTAGCAGTAATTTAATGATGTAATTGTGAAAGCTGTTTTTTTCAATGGAGTTGAAATGATTAATTAAACTATAAGAGCCAGTTCCATTGATGGTACAAACTTGTTTTTTTTCTATGTAGTTGAAATACTACTTAAACTATAAGAGCCAGTTCCACTGATGTTGTAAACTGTTTTTTTCTATGTATTTGAAATGATTACTTAAACTAAAAGAGCCAGTTCCAGTGATGTTACAAACTGGTTTTTTTTTTTTTTCAATGTAGTTTAAATGATTACTTAAACTGTAAGAGCCAGTTCCATTGATGTTATAAACTTGTTTTTCCAATGTAGTTTAAATATTACTTACACTATAAGAACCAGTTCCAGTGATGTTATACACTTGTTTTTTTCAATGTAGCTGAAATGATTAATTAAACTAAAAAAGCCAGTTCCAGTGATGTTACAAACTTGTTTAGGTAATCATTTTGACTACATTGAGAAAAAACTATAAGAGCCAGTTCCATTGATGTTGTAAACTGTTTTTTTCTATGTATTTGAAATGATTACTTAAACTATAAGAGCCAGTTCCAGTGATGGTATAAACTTGTTTTAAACTATAAGAGCCAGTTCCATTGATGTTGTAAACTATTTTTTTCAATGTAGTTGAAATGATTACTTAAACTAAAAAAGCCAGTTCCAGTGATGTTACAAACTGTTTTTTTCAATGTATTTGAAATGATTACTTAAACTCTAAGAGCCAGTTCCACTGATGTTATAAACTGTTTTTCTCAATGTAGTTGAAATGATTAATTAAACTCTAAGAGACAGTTCCAGTGATGTTACAAACTGTTTTTTTCAATGTAGTTGAAATGATTAATTAAACTAAAAAAGCCAGTTCCAGTGATGTTATAAACTTGTTTTTTCAATGTAGTTTAAAAGATTACTTAAACTGTAACAGCCAGTTCCAGTGATGGTATAAGCTGTTTTTTTCAATGTAGTTGAAATGATTCCTTAAACTAAAAGAGCCAGTTCCAGTGATGGTACAAACTTGTTTAAGTAATCATTTCGACTACATTGAGAAAAAACTATAAGAGCCAGTTCCAGTGATGGTACAAACTTGTTTTTTTTTCTATGTAGTTGAAATATTACTTAAACTAAAAGAGCCAGTTCCAGTGATGGTATAAGCTGTTTTTTTTCAATGTAGTTGAAATGATTAATTAAACTAAAAAAGCCAGTTCCATTGATGTTGTAAACTGTTTTTTTCAATGTAGTTGAAATGATTACTTAACCTATAAGAGCCAGTTCCAGTGATGTTACAAACTTGTTTAGGTAATCATTTCGACTACATTGAGAAAAAACTATAAGAGCCAGTTCCATTGATGTTGTAAACTGTTTTTTTCAATGTAGTTGAAATGATTAATTAAACTATAAGAGCGAGTTCCAGTGATGTTACACACTCTTTTTTTCAATATAGGTGAAATGATTACTTAAACTGTAAGAGCCAGTTCCAGTGATGTTACAAACTGTTTTTTCAATGTAGTTTAAATGATTACTTAAACTATAAGAGCCAGTTCCATTGATGTTGTAAACTGTTTCTTTCAATGTAGTTTAAATGATTACTTAAACTGTAAGAGCCAGTTCCAGTGATGTTACAAACTGTTTTTTTTCAATGTAGTTGAAATGATTACTTAAACTAAAAGAGCCAGTTCCAGTGATGGTATAAGCTGTTTTTTTCAATGTAGTTGAAATGATTAATTAAACTAAAAAAGCCAGTTCCATTGATGTTGTAAACTGTTTTTTTCAATGTAGTTGAAATGATTACTTAACCTATAAGAGCCAGTTCCAGTGATGTTACAAACTTGTTTAAGTAATCATTTCGACTACATTGAGAAAAAACTATAAGAGCCAGTTCCATTGATGTTGTAAACTGTTTTTTTCTATGTATTTGAAATGATTACTTCAACTATAAGAGCCAGTTCCATTGATGGTGTAAACTTGTTTTTTTTTCTATGTAGTTGAAATATTACTTAAACTATAAGAGCCAGTTCCATTGATGTTGTAAACTGTTTTTTTCAATGTAGTTGAAATGATTAATTAAACTATAAGAGCGAGTTCCAGTGATGTTACAAACTCTTTTTTTCAATATAGGTGAAATGATTACTTAAACTGTAAGAGCCAGTTCCAGTGATGTTACAAACTGTTTTTTTCAATGTATTTGAAATGATTACTTAAACTCTAAGAGCCAGTTCCATTGATGTTGTAAACTGTTTTTTTCTATGTATCTGAAATGATTACTTAAACTCTAAGAGCCAGTTCCAGTGATGTTAGTAAGAATGATGAATACTGTTCAGTTCTCCTGTACAGCTGTAAGTATGCTATAGTTTAGATACCGTTCCTGTGTAACAGCCAGGCGCTATTGCATTTGTTTTATACATTTCTTGCATGGCTGTATGTTTATCAGAAAATGGAAAAAGACCATGCTTTGTAACACTTAGCTGATTTTACGCCTTTGTAATAACTTCACTGACTCAATAAACTACTTTTACAGCTGTGGTAATACATAGCCTTGCTCTGGTGTGTCTGCCTTTTACTTAGTGAATGTAAGGTATAATAACTTAAAGTTGCTTCCAAGAAGCAGTTGTACTGGGTTTGATAGGTTTTACTTTACAAATGCCCTTTTCCCCAGTGATGCTTCAATATTTCTCCACTCCTGCAATTTTCCATCTTCGATTCCATATGTGCCACTCTCACGTGTAGCTATCTAACTACTCTCAGGCTTAAAGCCTTTGTGCTCCAACTCCTTCTCTCCACCTTCTGTTGTGGAGTTTCTCTAGTGTCACATTACCGAAAGAACTTCTGTGTGATGTGCTTTCAAAATACACAGCTGGCGTTTTGTCAGAGTTGTCCTCCCCGAATGTTATTGAGGAACATTCTCTTTCCCCCTGTGTATTTTAATGACCTGCACTTAATTACAGACTAATGCAAAATAAAGGACTAGTTTTCCAAAACAAAGCCTCTCCAATTCTGTGCAACAAGGCATCTTAGACTCTGCATGCCAGCTGATTGTATGGCTAAAGGAAAAGGTTTTCCCTTGACATACCTACACCACGAAACAAGCACCTTCCGTGTAATTCCCTAGCGCGTTTTACCGACTCCTGCAGTAAGCTTTCGGGGTTTTGAAGAGTTGCTTTTGTGTCTGTTCAAATAAAAGCTCGTTTGCCACCATTGGCAGGCATAGCAGTTGCTGTTAGACCCCACGGGGTGGCTAAAGGCTGCCCGGCTGTTCTCTCAACCAAAAAACACTAATGGGTGGAGATAGCAGTATTCACACAGACAAAGAGAAGGTGACTACTTCCAACAGTATATGTGAATGCATGCTTCTGTATGTAACGAATGCTAATCCGCTAATTGCTCACGGCACCGACCCAACCACGCACAGCTGAATACCCACAAAGCGACAGCCTCAGGTGAACTCTCACCCCCTTCCGAAATCTTGCGGCACGACGTGGAACCCTATGGCCAGTTTAAGTCGGCTGTCGCCATTCTGTCCCCTCCCAGCCCCTCGGGCTCGTCGCAGAAAAAGGGGCCCTGGCTCTGAACACTACTACCGAGCAGCAACTGTAAACATTACTGAATAAGCACCACTGTTTTCCTCCCACAACCCAAACGGAGCATCAAAACGGGAGCTTTAAAAACAATAAACAAACATTCAGTCCCAGCTGCAACTAACACCCTACTCTTGATTATTAAAATTACAGGACATGAGCTCTGCTACAAAGACACATATATGTACGTCCTATGTTCTTAACTGGCAAAAGTTGTTGCGCAACAGGACACGTTGAAAAAACTACTTACAATTAGACGAAAAGACAACTGTTTGCTCTTCTCATTTGCATACTCAGAAATTTCCATTAAAAAACCCACAACAAGCTAGGACTAAATATATATATATATATATATATATATATGTAAAATAATATATATATTAATATATTATATAATATATATATATATATTCTCGCTGAACAAAAACCAAATCTTAGCAAATCAGGAAAATCTTCAGTTGGAAGGGACAGCAAGGATTATCGAAGGCCAAAGCCCCGTGCTACGATCCCACCGCAGAGCGCACCCTGAGATGACGTTAAAAATAGTGGGTCAGGGGTTCAATACCGGCACCGCTGCGGGGTAGATTGCAGGATTCGTTACTACACTGCGGTCCCGCAGCGCCGCGCCTAAACTCTCCATTCCGAGCTGCCCGCCCTCATTTCTGTTTCAGACGTTTCAGATACGATGAGGTCAAGCAGTTCCAGAACAACGGAAAGCATGCTGGCATTTCTTGGCAAGATAAAACCATTTATGGAAAAATATAACGCAGTTGGCAACTATGCTCAGGACTTCCACATCTTCAAGGACTAAAGAAATAGAAAAAAAAACCAACCAAACAAACAAACAAACTCACTCTGAGAAAGCACTGGCCGTGCCAGTCGTCCTAACATTACTTGGCCTTATTTCTTCCCCCCCCCTCCCCACACTTTCAAGAAGAAGCAAGAGAGGTTCATTTCTTGCAGTAGGAAAGTGAAATCCAACTCCCACTCCAAATCCAGTTCCACCCGATGGTGACGTTCCCGTAGTTTACCTTTCCACAACACAAAGGTGCGAGTAACTAAGTAACAAGATAACTATGCGGTTGAACCCTACCCACGGAGCTCCGAAGCCGTGCTCTTCGCACCGACAACATTGAAGTCGTTCCAGGACAGTTGCGGGGCTCTGCGTTCTGACGGTGGAAATATCCCAAGCGCGTACACAGAACGCTGGGTTAACGGCAACAAAGTTGCAACGGCCTCGCAAAGCGAGGCCTCGTTAAAGCTCTTGCAAAAGCGAAAGAAAAAGCTCCCTCGCCAGCAGCAAGTAACTGCTGGAAATTACCAGGTTCAGGGTAACGGGAGGGAAAGAGGAGAGACAGCAGAGCCACAAGGTCGTGGGCTGCGGTGAGCGAGGGCTTGCTCAAAAGCAACGGCCCAAGCACGCGAACAAGGGGAAAAAAACACCCACTTACCTTCAAAAAGTCCTATTAGGCAGAGACCACAAGAGAGAAATACTCTCTCCTCCTCTGCCGGCCCTCAAATGAGGACGGGAAGGGGTGCACCCTAGCTCCGCCCCTTGCGCTCACTAGAGAACATTGCCTGCACCTGAGCTCCCGTGGGTGGGCCCGGCTTTGCCCCAGGTGCTCAATCACTGCTTCGGGCCCTGACTGGGCCCTTCTGCTTCCTTAGCATTCAGAAGGCGTTGCTTCCTAATTATTTCGTGGCCCTTGTCAGGTGATCCACGTAGTTACAATTACAATGAGATCGTTGTAAGGTTAATCCAACATCGCGATTACACAGAGAGCCACTAAAACAAACAAACAAACAAACAAACAAACAAACAATAAAAGGATCTAAATCCATTTCCAACAGAAAACCTGGCTACAGTTACATGGGAAGAAAATACTTCTGAATCTATACTAAACGTACAGCCGTGGAAAGTCACAAATGTAATCGAAAAAAACCATAATTACACATACACGCAGGAATCGAGAGCGCTGCTGGACTGACAGAATGCCCAGCCGCAAAACACTCATTTTCAACGCAGTCACCGCCCTGAGCTGTGCGCCAACGCCGCAAAGGACAAGGCGTCCCTTTCGGAGCCACCCTCGTACTGGGCGTCACATAGAGACGCCTGTTCATTCAGAATTGGAAGGTCACAATCCCGCCGGTGCCATTTCATCCAACGTGTTCATCCCATTAACGGATGCTTTCGTTCGTTTCTGCATCTCAGCAGAACTCAGCAGAACTGCATCTCACCTCGAGAACTCAGCTCTAAAAAACCTCTGCTCACCCTTTAACAGGCTTATACATATTTTAGCGAACTAATCGAAGCAAAGGAACAACAGAGTATGATTTAGGTAACTGTTAGACAACTAGAGAACCATCCGGTGAGCGGCTACTCCGTCTTTGCACAACCTCCTTTTGAACAGTTTTCTCCAGTAACGCATCCCTTACATTCAGTTTCTTAACAAATTAAATACACTATTATACACGAACTGTGCCGATGACCTAAACTGAAAATTTGTTTCGTGCAGTGAAAAGGGGAAAGGAGAAAAATTAGGAAAGGAAAAAGGGCGAAGGAAAAAAAAACACCGTCTACCACACCTGACCCCTCCACCAACTGCTGCGATGCTCAGGTACTCACTGGATTTCAGGGACTAGACGAAAACCGTACCTGACAGGACCCAAAAGCGCAGGGCTCCTCTCGCTCCTCCCGTCTGCTCGTCATAAGCCTCCTTTCCTTACAAAATCTTCACATTAGGTCCTGCTGTAAGACAACTCCGTAGCTCTGTGAAGCATGCCCGTACGGTTCAGTGCTAAAAGAAGCCACCTGCTTCCGTGTTCGAGTGCGAAAGCAGTACGGCAGCTGCCAGTTCTGCGCTTTGAAAGCGCTGTTTCTTTCTGGCTTTCAGCGGCAGATGTATTTACAGCGACACATTGTAACAGGGACGAGCACGGCCTCTCTCACACTTTATGAGCTCTTTTTCAGAACATTTTGCTCCCTTTGAGATGCCAATGACCTTCCCCCCCTCCACCCTCCCCCCTCCCCGCGTTCCATGAATAACCCGCAGAGAACTGTCACACTGACCTATCTGTGCACACGCAGAATGGAATTGTAAACTGCAAGAGCGTGGAGAGTCTCTCTGATAGCAGCCTGTATTTTTTTAAGGGACCTGGGGGTGCTGCTTGATGCTCGGCTGAACATGAGCCGGCAGTGTGCCCAGGTGGCCAAGAGGGCCAAGGGCATCCTGGCCTGCGTTAGAAATAGTGTGGCCAGCAGGAGCAGGGAGGTAATCGTCCCCCTGTACTCAGCACTGCTGAGGCCGCACCTCGAATGCTATGTTCAGTTTTGGGCCCCTCACTGCAAGAAAGACATTGAGGCCCTGGCACGTGTTCAAAGGAGGGCAGCTAAACTGGTGAGGGGTCTGGAGCACGAGCCTTATGAGGAGCGGCTGAGGGAGCTGGGATTGGTTAGTCTGGAGCAGTCTCAGGGGAGACCTCATTGCACCCTACAACTTCCTGAAGGGAAGGCTGTGGTGTTAAAGGGTCTGGCCTCTTGTCCCAGGCTAATAGAATCCGAGGAAACAGCCAGAAGTTATACCAGAGGAGGTTTAGCTTGGACATGAGGAGAAACTTTTCCTGTCAGAGGGTGGTCAGGCACTGCCATGGCTGCCCAGGGAGGTGGTGGAGTCACCGGCCCTGGTATTGCTCAAGAGGCGCCTGGATGAGGAGCTACGAGAGATGGTTTAGTAATAGGAATGGAAGGGGGATAGGAATGGAAGGGGGTTGGACTGGATGATCTTGCAGGTCGTTTCCAACCTTGCCATTCTGTGATTCTGTGATTCTGTGATTCACTGATCTGCTGTAGCAGAGCCAGAGAGACCAAGCAACAACTTGGGTGAGGACCTTCACCGATGATCCAGAGAGCACTTCTGCTATACATCAGGCCAACCCATTTTTCTCTACAAAACGAGAACTGTCCATGCCCAGACTCACTTCCCGCACAGAACGCATTATCACACTGGAACGGGCAGCTCTGCGGCCCTTGCGGCGCGGCAGATTTGTCCTCTGGCTTCTCCTGCACTTTCCCATCAGTGCGCTTGCTGCTGCGGCCCCGACAGGGCCGAGAAATAAAGGAAACTGTCGTTACTGTCAGGCATTGCTATGACAAGGTGGGAAGGGAAGTGATAAAAGCCCCGAGAAGCAGTGATCATATACATATCCCAACCTGCTCACAACCACAGTCTCCTGAGGAGCTCTTCTGTGGAGCTCCTTCTCTGTATTTCCACGTAGGAAACGGCTGCGGCACGTACTCCACACTCCGTGGAATGTTAACTCACAGAAACCGGTTGCTTAATTAATGTTGCATTACAATGTCTGAACAGCGAACAGCCTGCCAAGTAGCAAAAGTCTGGGAGGAGCAAATGCCAAGTTAGTCGCTCCTGGAGGTGCTGGGGACGGTGCCTGCATGCTGAATAGTGTCCTCCAGCTGCCACCGGGGAACGCTGAGGGTGAGGGAGCCGCTGCCGGGCTTCGGGGGAACGTGATGCACGTGTGGAGCACCTACTGCATATAGCGCTGGAAGCTGCAAGCACGAATACATTTTCTGCACTGCTACCCAATGATAGCAACTGGCATGGAACGGAGGTACAGTTTCCACCAATTTCCACAATGCAGGTGTTTCCTTGCTCGAAACTCTCCTTCTGTAAAAGGACATGTTGCATCGTGCAGCCGCAAGGGCTCCAGGGTGCCGGTACCGTGATAGCGGTGCCGCAATCGCACCTCTGACAGAAAACCGATTTGCAAAACACAGACGGATGCTGGGAGTTGTGCAGCTGCTGCTGAACTGACTGCGTGTGGTTCTACAGTTTCTAGTTTCTAGTTTCTAGCGTGCTCCTCTTCTACACTCCTACTTCAGAATAGACCGATAGGGCGACTCCTTCGAGGGGTCCTCGGTGGGTCTCCTTGTCCCCGAGTGTCACTGTCGCTGCTTCCAGGCTGCACGCATGCTTCGGTTCTGTCCTGTCTCCCAGTATAAAGCAATGTTACAAAGCAATATCTCCGGTGGGACCGCAGCATCCACCTGGGCACGGAGTGGTGGCTGAGTGGCACCGTTCGACAACGAAACGCTTCCGGCAAGCTGCTCCTTCAAAGGCAAAATCTGTCAGAAGACAGAGAATCAAAGCCGACATGGTATAAAGAATCAGCAATCACACGAACCTCTCAGGGAGCCTTGCTCGCTTTTAATCTACAAGGACATCAGTTCCTGTTACTCGAAGAGAAAAAACAATTTGTTGCAGGCTGCCAGAAGCATCGGAGGGTGGGAATGCTCTCACGCACGCTTTGATGCTTGCTACACTACAACAGACAAGGCACGGCATCACTTTCTGCTTCACGTTGTGGCTTACTATGTTAAAGACAAATAATTTAAAACAACAGAGTGACAGAGAGTCAGGTGGAAGCTCACGGTGGATTCTCACTGACTAATTACCTGCAGTGAGCAGGCCCGGCGACTGAGATTTCATATGCACCCGGGTGCCGAGGGGATGTAGCGAGGTGCCAGCTTCTGTAAGCAATCTTCAATGTGCAGCTTAGGGTTTAGAACCATAGACTCGTAGAATTGCTCAGGTAGAAAAAGGACCTGAAGGATCATCGAGTCCAACCGCAACCGTGCTACCTTCGCTTTAACAGCCCTCCGCTAAATCCTGTCCCTGAGCACCACAGCCGAATGGTTTGTAAGGACGAGCAGGGATGGCGACTCGACCGCCTCCCTGGGGAGCCCATTCCAGTGCTTAGCAATCCTTTCTGTGAAGAAGTGTTTCCTGACACCCAACCTAAACTGATCCTGGCACAACTCGAAGCCATTTCCCCTCACCCTGTCACCTGTCACCAGTGAGAAGAGACCACCCCGCTCTCGCTGAAAGCACCTTTCAGGTATTGGAAGACAGCAATAAGGTCTCCCCTCTGCCTCCTTTTCTCCAAACTAAACAGCCCCAGTTTCATCGAGGCGTCTGGGTTCTTTTCCTAGTACAAGAAAGAAGACTTGGGTCTCTAGCAAAACAAAGTCGGGAACAGCATAACTCCCTCACCTGTTCGGAAAGGGAAAGGCACTCTCCAACCTCTCTCCTTCCTGGAGCTACGCTGCAAGCATGACTCACCCTTCCAGTAAGCGGGAGGTTACTGGAGTCAGGAGGTGAACCTGCCCGGTCCTGCATGGCCGGAGGTGCCGGGTAACGCGTGCCGTGGGACCGGCAACCTGCTGCACGCTCAAAGCCTGCGGACCTACGGGCTACAGATGCTTCTCGGCCTACCTGGAAGCAAACTCTTCAGTGCAGGTGGGAATCTATACTCCTCAGAAAACTCAACCGAAAGCTATGGCTCCTCCCAAGGTAGTGCTTAAGCCGAGATCTGTAGAAGAGCTCAGCAGAACACTTCAAACTTTCACTCTCCAAAAGTGAACTAGGTAAGTGACTCCGTATGAGGAACTGCGCTAACTCAGCCCCTATCAACCTAGCGTTATCCTTCACGAATAAGTTGAATTGCCCCCAGGAACAAAGGCGCCCAGAGCTCTAGGGTCGGACTGGCGCTGCAAGTCTTCCTGTCCTTGACGTGACCTGCCCCGTCCCGGCTGGAGGGCGACTATTCAGCCAACAGCTGAGCGTGGC